GTGAAATTTTCTAAATTTCTAGCCATTGTATTTCTCTTTCACGTTTTATCAAAGAATCTTTGCAAATAAAAATTTCTAATAATAACGTACAAAAAATACAAACAGACTAGTAAATAGAGAAAATAGAGAAAAAACCTTTTTGTGCGATAGTTTTCTACGAGTGTGAATCTCAACTCTCAATGAAAGCACCAATTTGTGGATGCAAATTTCTGCGTTCTTCGTCTTGGACAAAATTGCACCTACAAAACAATTAACACCTTAGGTCAAGGCCAAGAGCCTCATGCGCCCATGATGAATTGGGGGGGGCTTTGGCTGAAGAATCTCCGATGCCAAAGTTATAATCTAGAGAGAAAAGTATTTGGAGAGTTTTTGGGAGTTTTGCAACAGTGTGGACCTAGCTTTTTAGAAGAAATAGGGTCATATATATAGGGAATGGGGTGTGGCTGGCCTTTAAGTGTGTTTTGGGGTGTTATTTGGTGATTCAATTAGCAATTAATATATTAATTAGGTATAAATATATTAATTGGCTAATTATCATAATAAAAGAAATGTTTTGGGAGGTTTTTGGAGGTTATGAAATGAGGATGGACGAGACAAATTTGAACTTGTTACCTATTTTGAGTACTCCTGATTTGGTTGATGGATGATTCTCCACTGCTCGCGTGTAGGAGACCCGGTATGCCTCGAGGGTAAATTTGTCATCTTCACCCAAAAATCCACGTGTCGCTTTGTGATTATTTTTGGCTCCATATAAAGTTTATCCTCTCGTCTTGGAGAGCTGACCCATGTGGGTGTCGGGGAATTGGTTTACCCTCTTGCATTGGAGAGCATGGTTGGTCCCTTGAGGGGCGCAATTCCTGCAATGAGTCCCTAAGAAGGGCGCGATCTTCTTTGAAGTGCATGAGTGATCAATTGTTGTAAGCATGCAGTCGAGCCAAGTTGTGATTACTTCTAAATTCCTCATTGAAAAACGAGTGAAACCAACGAGAACTTAGTTGTAAGGTAGGAACTGTATAACAACTAGATAGTCATCGGCTTGTGAAGTGGTGCCTGTCGGGCTGCTTGAGTCTTCAAGCTTTGATGTAGCCAGAGGTCACACATGGTACTTTCTCAGATTGTAGGCGCTCCACTGCTTTTTGATCTTTTTATCGTTTAATGGTGGCAAGGGTGTAATTACTCTTGCTGCCTACTCTGCTGATCTTGTACTGACCTTTCCAGATGGGATCCATCTTTTTGGATCCTTTTCTGCAAGCAGTGATGAAGGCTTATCTTAGGACTAGATCTTCGGGCTGGAACTGCTAGATCTTGGCTCTTTTGTTGTAGTTGGAAATGAGTTGTTGCTGGTAGACTGCGATGTAAGTGATGGTCTGCTTTTGCTTCTCATCTACCAGATCTAAGCTTGTGGCCATCTCCTTACTGTTCTGCTCAATGCTTGGTAGTAGAGCGGTGGTACTTGGCTTGATGACATTGGGATGAATAATTCCTTCTGAGCCAAACACCAAAGAGAAATGAGTCTCACCAATTGCTCGTCTTTTGGTGATGTGATATGCCCATAGACATCCGGGGGAGCTCATGTGGCCATTTTCCCTTCTTGTTGGTGAGGGATTTCTTGAGGCAGTTGAGGATCATCTTGTTGGATGCTTCGGCCCAGCTACTGCCTTGAGGATATCTTGGCATGGACATGTGCTGCTTGATGCCATACTTTTGGAAGAACTTTGCCACATCATGGCCCACGAATTGTGGGCCGTTGTTAGTGAAGATGGACTAAAGGATGCCAAATCGGTAAATGATGTTTCTCCATATGAAGCGTTCTATGTCCGTCTGAGTTGTGGTGGTCATGGGCTCTGCTTTTACTTGGTGAAGTAGTCGGTTGCCACGATCATAATGCATGTGCCTCCAGTAGCAGGCGGCATAGGTCCTACCAGGTCGATTGCCCATTGCATGAATGGCCAAGGGCTCGTTTGCAGATGTAGCTCATTAGCAGATAGTACTGGTACTGGATTGTAACGTTGGCAGTGGTCGCACTTTTGTACTAATTCCTTAGTATCTTGGTGCGTGCTGGGTAAATAGTAGCCAGCGTTAAGAGCTTTATGTGTTAAGGATCGACCTCCGGAGTGATTTCCACAAACGCCTTCTTGGATTGAACATAGAACATTCAAGTTATCGGGAAGTGCTAGGTAGTGGAGATGTGGTCCAGTATAAGATCTTCGGATGAGAATGCTATTCCACATATAGTAACGTGCTTCCTTGATTTGTAACGTTTTATGATAAAAAAAAGAGTAAAGTACAAAAAACTACCTCAACTATTGGTGTTACGACACTTTCATAACTCATCTTTTAAAATTGACAATGTCATACCTCATCTTACGAATTTGTGCCAATGTCAGACCTCTGTCAGTTTTTCTATTAAATGCTGACGTGGCTAGAGACGGACCCATTTTTTATAAAAAAAAAATTAAATATTAAAAATTAAAAAAAAAAAAAACAAAAAAAAACAAAAAACCAAAACAAACCCATCAACTCGTGTCCCCCTCCCTTAAAACCCAGATCCCCTTCTGAGTTCTCTCCCACCCAACCCTCTCTCTATCCGCTCTCTCTCTTGCCTCTCTCTTCTCTCTCCCTACAACCTGCATCCCTAAAATCCCAAGACCCAGAAATCCTTCCCACCTGTCCCCCCAACCTTCCTCTCCGATCCCACTGACGACAACCTTACCTCTGTTGTTGACTCCAGCAATGACAGCCACGAGCCCCAATCGCCCCAAAACCCTAACTCTAGCCATAATCTCCACAACAACATTCCCTTGTCCTCCTCGCCCCCGGAGTCTGCCCCTCTAGCGATTTGCGAGAGAAAAACAAAACAATAACAACAACAATCCCAATAGAAAAACTCTCTGTTTTTCCCAGAAAATTTCGAGATTTTCCAAGAAAATCAGAGGAGAAGTGAAAAACAGAGAGAGAGAGAGAGAAAGTTGTGATATGAGAATGGCTCTCTTTGGTCTAAGTTTTCGATAAATGGTGTATATAGCCGGGTTAGATGAGGAGAGAGACTGGAGGTGAAGTCCATGGCGATGGGTTCTGAGAGGGTGAAGCCTCTGCACAATTTCAACTTGCCGTGGTATTTGAAGTGGGGGAACCATAAGCACCTGTGGTGCCAGAAAGAGAGCTCCGACGCCAGCAGGAGTGGCGGGGAAGGGTCTGGGGTTAATCGGTGATCGTCGGCTTAGAGGATTGAGAGCTCACCGACAGTGATGACACAGGTGGGAATGGTTTTTGGGATTTTAGGGATGCAGGTTGCAGGGAGAGAGAAGAGAGAGAAGAGAGAGAGAGAGAGATGAGAAAGAGGGTTGGGTGGGGGAGAACTCAGAGAAAGGGATCTGGGTTTTTGGGGAAGGGGAACACGGGTTGATGGGTTTTTTTTGGTTTTTTGTTTGGTTTTTTTTAATTTTTTAATATTTAATTATTTTTTTAATAAAAATGGGTCCTGTTTCTGGCCACATCAGCATTTAACAGAAAAACTGATGGAGGTCTGACATTGGCACAAATTCGTAAGATGAGGTATGACATTATCAATTTTAAAAGATGAGGTATGAAAGTTTCGTGACACCAATAGTTGAGGTAGTTTTTTGTACTTTACCCAAAAAAATATCTTGACACTTTTCCTTAGCTTAAGAAAAGTGGAGCATATGATGCCATTTGGGCGCTAACTTATTCTGATACCATGAAGAAAGTTGGAGTTCAACTATAAAACCAATTGACTATATAGGAAGTGCCTAACTTACTTATAAGTCCTTACAAGGTTTCTTCCTTATTTAATGTAGGACTCTCACAATATTAATCTAAATTGTCTTAGCTTCGAAAATGGTCATGATTTGGCTTATGATTCATTCGAATCTAAATGACGGCAAATAATGCAGATTTTAGCTCAAACACAAATAATACTTTAAACTATATTAGGTAGAGCAAGATACAAATTCAAGTACAAAAGAGCACTAATTAATATAAGGGTTTTTATAATAAATAGTCATTGAAATTGACCTATCTGATTACTTTGGTCCCTCAATTTGAAAATCAATCAACATCATCCCTGAATTTGATTACCGCACATCAATGTAGTCCTTGCCATTCAAATCCGTCAAATTTTCCGTTAGTTTGCTGATGTGGCAGCACACATAAAACTCACACAACCAATATTTGGATGCCACGTAGACGATACCTAAAAGAAATCACTTTTTTGTAGTTAAAAAAAAAAAACAATTAGAAACCAAATAAATAAAAACAAAAAAAAAACCCCAACAACATCTACCCCGCCTCCAACCATCTGCCAGACCCATCCACCCCAAGCTAGTCATACCCCGTCGGCGAAATTGGCGAGGAGGGAGCTGGGAGCAAGTGTAAAGAAACGTATAAAGAGTGTTTTTTTTTTGTCAAAGAGTAGAATTTATTGAATACGAATATTAATGTTTTCATCCTCCGCAACAGTATTGAAAAAAAATTCCGGTCTAATAGCATCCCATAGCATCCCATAAAAAGGTGCCACCATGCGCAGTGGCATACGAAGCAACCTTATGAGTAACTTGGTTGCCATTCCGCTGGACATAAAGAAACTTCACCTCCCCTATTTGAGACACTAGAAGCTTGATATCTGCATCAATAGTGGCTTCGCCGTTGAGCATCTGAACAAGAACAAGGGCGTCCGTCTCGATCTTGATCTTAAAACACTCCATAACCCTGCATTGAAACAACGCAGCCCGCACTGCTGCTGCTTCCGTCATCACAACATTGTTGTAAAAAGCACCTCCCACTCATCCAGCCATCTGCAACACCCCTGCAAAATCACGCATAACCCACCCGTAACCCCCCTTCATCGTCTTCCCACTCCAAGCCCCATCACAATTAACCTTAATTGTACCAAACGGGGGCCTCTTCCATCTCACTTTCTTACCAGCAAATTCATCCTCCCACACGGGCAGCCCAAGTCGATCTTTCTCAGGTTTTTTTGGCTAGACATCTTTATACTCCTGAAGGTGCTTACGCAAAAGCATGAGAGCCTTCTGTGGGTCACGCATAATCCCATTAAAGACAAAATCATTTCTACATTTCCAAATTCTCCATAGAACAAAGGCCATTTCCTGAAAAAGCTCCTCACTTTGTTCCTCATCCTTGTACCTTTCAAATAACTTCTTCCAACAATCTCGAAAGTCAGACCCTCTAAAGCCTGTAGAGTCAAGCTGGAGAGGACAACGACTAAATTCACACCTTAAAAATAGATGCTCCTACGTCTCATCTTCCAAACCACACATCGCACACGTCGTTGCAATGCACATATGCCGGCGGGCGAGGTTTCGTCATACCGCCAAAGATTTATTACAACATCTCCATATGAAAAACTTAATTTTGTTTGGCACTTTTAAACCCCATAAATGCTTCCATACTTGGTCTTCACCCCTGCCATTACCACTCATCCCCGTACCTTTCCTCCCCAACTCCCCATTCTCATGAAGCTCAATGGCAACCCCATACCCGGTCCTAACCGTATACTGACCATGTCGAAAATAGTGCCAAATTAATTGATCGGTTCCCCCAGTAACGCTCGTTGGCATCCCCAGAATTATTCTTGCCTCCTCATCATCGAAGAGGTTATTTACCAACCCCACATCCCACGTACTTGACTCTGCGTCAATCAAGTCATTCACCATATGCGGCATAAGAACATGTTTTGATCTCACCTTGAAAGTGTTAGGCGTAGGCAGCCATGGATGCTCCAATATCGTAATATTCCTCCCATCCTCAACCCTCCATCTCAATCCCCGCTTCAGAACTTGCCTTCCTTGCAAAATACCCTTCCAACCCCACGAAGTCTTCTTACCATTTTTTCTCATCCATAAAAGATAGGTCCGGGAAATATTTTTCCGTGAGTACCTGAGCCAATAGTGAGTGAGGATTCTTTAACAATCTCCATCCAAGCTTAGCCAAGAAGGCAAGGTCATTTAAGGTCTCGGAAACCCAGTCCTCCCGTCTTCTTCATTTTTTTTCAACTTGTCCCATGCAATCCAATGCACTCCACTCACTCATCCGTTGATATCCTCGCCACCAAATTTTGCAATTAGACTCTCCATCTCCTTACATAAACTCACTGGTAGCTTGAAACAGGACATCGCATAATTCGGTAAAGCCATTGCAATGGTTTTGATTAAAACCTCTTTTCCGGCGAATGAAAGGAACTGCTCAGCCCAACCTTGTATTCGTGCCTCCAATACTCTCCTAACTTCTTCAAAGATCGCCTTTTTAGATGTCAAAAATCAGAAAAAGACCTAATTACTTACCAAATGCATCCCGTCCTTGAATATTCATACATCGAACAATTTTCCTCCACCTTCGTTTCGGACAATTCGCACCAAAGTAAATGGGATCATCCGCAAAAAGCAAATGGGATATTGATATACCTCCCTCAACTACACGCATTCCGTATAGAGAACCCACCTCTTCTAGCCGTCTCAGTAATTCCAAAAACCCTTCCGCACATATTAAAAATAAAAACGGAGATATGGGATCCCCTTGCCGTAAACCCCGTTATGGCTGAATAAATCCAGTGGAGGATGTTAAAAGAGCCCAGCCCCAGCCCATTCCACACAAATCCAAGCACCAAAGTCGGTGCAGCATGCTGACATGTCAACATGCTAGATAATTCTAGCATTATCTTATTAAGTCGGTGGATGTGTGTGTATAATCATGTGCTAGAAAGCTCTAGCAGCTTGTACAATTGTGTGGCTGCCATGCAAAGCCCAAAGGCAATGGAGAATTGTAGTCGGCAAACACCACCTATAAATAGGTGTGTGATGTTGTGAAAGCAATCAACCAACAAGAAAGAAGCCATCAAGAAAGTGAGTGAGTGTCATTGCTTCTAAAGTGTGTCTTTGTGTCCTTTTGAGTGTTGTAATATTTTGTGTGTGTAATACAAGTAATTTGTTTACTTGTGTACTCTAAGTTTTTCCTCAACAATTGGCATCAGAGCGGGACGGTCAGGGATCGTTCTTGGTGGAGCTATCTTGAGTCGTGAGGAGTTTGGTACTCTGCAAGTTTGTTAGTCAAGCTTGATCGGTATAGTCGAAGTCTTGCCGGCACGATGGGTGACCTTCAAGTAGTTGGAGGAGTCAAGAAGCTCAACAACAAAAACTACAATACGTGGGCAACATGTATGGAGTCTTACTTACAAGGTCAGGACCTTTGGGAGGTTGTCGGTGGTGGTGAGGTTACACAACCGGCGGCAGAAGACGCCAATGGCATCTTGCAAAAGTGGAAAATTAAAGCAGGCAAATCGATGTTTGCTTTAAAGACCACAATTGAAGAAGAAATGTTGGAGCACATCCGGGATGCCAAAACGCCAAAGGAAGCATGGGACACTTTTGTTACACTTTTTTCAAAGAAGAATGATACAAGACTGCAACTTCTCGAGAACGAGCTGCTATCGATGGTGCAACGCGACATGACGATTGCCCAGTACTTTCACAAGGTGAAGTCGATATGCCGCGAAATTTCAGAGTTAGATCGAACAGCTCCTATTGGGGAAACCAGGATGAAAAGAATAATTATCTATGGTTTGAGACCCGAATATCGAGGGTTCGTTGCCGCTATACAGGGATGGCCAACACAACCATCGCTTGTTGAGTTTGAAAATTTGCTTGCAGGTTAAGAAGCTATGGCCAAGCAAGTGGGAGGAGCCTTGCTAAAGGGTGAAGAGGAAGCGCTCTACACTAGCAAAAGCAAAGGCACTTTCAAGCGGTACACTGGTAGTGGATCTAAAAAGGATGGAGACAAGGTGAAAAGTCACCAAGGAAAGGGAGGCTCTAGTCCAGGGGGAGCTTCGAAGAATCGCGGTAATAGTAGAAAGTTTGATGGTGAGTGTTACAACTGCAGGAAGATGGGCCACATGGCGAAAGATTGTTGGACCAAAAAAAAGCATGTTGAAAGTAATACTGTTACTTTTAGTCCGAAGGAGAATAGTGAAGATGGTTGGGATGCTGAAGCATTATTCGCTACGGCGGAAGAAGAATTAGCCCTCACGGTAACAACACAAGAACGTACCGGAAAGGTTTTGGGCTGAAACAATGAGGACTGCAGCCTTTGTGATCAACAGACTTCCTCAATCAAGGTTAGAATTTGTCTCACCCTTTGAAAAACTATGGGATATGAAACCTACAGTTAGTTACTTTCGAGTATTTGGCTGTGTATGTTATGTATTTGTTCCTGATCATTTACGGAGCAAGTTTGACAAGAAAGCTGTTAGATGTATCTTTGTGGGACACAGCCAAAGAAAGGGGTGGAAATGTTGCGATCCAACAAGTGGAAGATGTTACACTTCACGAGATGTGGTGTTTGATGAAGCGTCTTCTTGGTGGTCCTTAGAGAATGAGGTGCTACCAGACTTCAGAGAATTTGGAGAAAAGCTGCAACAGAAGATGGGGGAGCATACTATCCAACTCCAACCAAGTTCAAATGAATCAGGAGATCCAAATGGTGATGATGTCGAACAAAGAGTGGCTAAGAATCATTGGCAAACTGGCGTGTATCAACAACAAAACAAAGAAGGTGGGCCTAGTGAAATGGAAGAATCAACTCCACAATCTCAACTCCGAAGGTCAACAAGAACACGAAAGCCAAATCCTAAATACGCCAATGCAGCCATAATTGAAGAAGCAACAGAACCTAAAACGTTCGAAGAAGCATCACAGAGTTCTGAGTGGATGATAGCTATGAAAGAAGAGATCGATGCACTTCAATAAAATCAGACCTGGGATATCGTGCCAAAGCCAAGAAATGTGAAACCCATATCCTGTAGGTGGGTTTACAAGATAAAGCGCTGTCCAGATAGGTCAATCGAGAGGTACAAGGCACGATTGGTAGCTCATGGTTTCTCTCAACAGTACGGACTAGACTATGATGAAACGTTTAGTCCAGTGGTGAAACTTACAACAGTACAAGTCCTACTTGCACTTGCAGCCAACAAAGACTGAAATATGTGGCAGATGGATGTGAATAATGCTTTTCTTCATGGAGAGCTGGATCGGGAGATCTACATGATCCAACCAATGGGATTTCAGAGCCAAGATCATCCTGAATATGTGTGTAAGCTGCGGAAAGCACTGTACGGATTGAACAAGCACCCAGGGCGTGGTATGGTAAGATTGCTGAATTTCTAACACAAAGTGGTTATTCAGTAACACCTGCAGATTCCAGCTTGTTTGTCAAAGCCAATGAAGGAAAGCTAGCTATCGTGCTACTATATGTGGAAGACTTAATCATAACCGGTGATAATGAGGCAGAAATTCTTCGGACGAAGGAAAATTTATTAGTCCGTTTCTAGATGAAGGAACTTGGTCAACTTAAGCACTTCCTTAGTCTAGAGGTTGATCGCACACAAGAAAGAATATTTCTCTGTCAACAAATGTATGCCAAAGATTTGTTGAAGAGGTTTGGAATGCTCGAATGGAAGCTGATTTCGACGCTGATGGAGCCAAATGCCAAAATGTGTGCATATGAAGGAAAAGATTTGGAAGATGCGACAATGTATCGACAATTGGTAGGTAGTCTGATCTACTTAACCTTGACTCGACCTAACATTTCTTATACAGTTTGTGTGATGAGTCGGTACATGCAAAATCCAAAGAAGCCTCACTTGGAAGCAGTTCGACGAATACTGAGATATGTGAAGAGTACAATTGACTATGGTCTTTTGTACAAGAAAGGTGAAGACTGCAAGTTAGTTGGTTACTATTATGCTGACTATGCAGGAGATCACGACACCAGGAGATCAACAAGTGGGTATGTGTTTAAGCTTGGTTCCGGAACAATTTCTTGGTGTAGCAGGAGACAGCCGACGGTATCATTATCAACCACTGAAGCTGAGTATAGAGCAGCAGCAATGGCAGCTCAAGAGAATGCATGGCTGGTACAGTTGATGAATGATCTACATTAACCAGTAGATTATCCAGTACCATTGTACTGTGATAACCAATCGGCAATTCGCTTGGCGGAAAATCCAGTTTTTCATGCAAGAACTAAACATGGGGAGGTACATTATCATTTCATTAGAGAGAAGGTCTTGTAAGAAGAGATTGAGATGAGACAAATCAATACAGATGAACAAGTTGCGGACTTGTTCATTAAAGGTTTGAGTACTGGCAAGTTTGAAAAGTTTCGTCGTCAACTCAGCATGGAGAAAAGAATGAGCTGGTGTTGAGGGGGAGTGTTAAAAGAGCCCAACCCCAGCCCATTCCACACAAATCCAAGCACCAAAGTTGGTGCAGCATGCTGACATGTCAATATGCTAGATAATTCTAGCATTATCTTATTAAGTCGGTGGATGTGTGTGTATAATCATGTGCTAGAAAGCTCTAGCAGCTTGTACAATTGTGTGGCTGCCATGCAAAGCCCAAAGGCAATGGGGAATTGTAGTCGGCAAACACCACCTATAAATAGGTGTGTGATGTTGTGAAAGCAATCAACCAACAAGAAAGAAGTAATCAAGCAAGCAAGCAACCAAGTGAGAGTGAGAAGTAAGAGTAGTCTTGTGAGGAGGAGTGTGAGTGATCTAGAGTTTGTCTCTAGAAATTGAGTAAGTGTCATTGCTTCTAAAGTGTGTCTTTGTGTCCTTTTGAGTGTTGTAATATTTTGTGTGTGTAATACAAGTAATTTGTTT